ATGCATGCTGCAAAAGAAGGTTCAACTTTTGCTATATAGGCCACATCTATTATAGGTAGAAAAAAGATTCAAATAGCATTCCAAGTCAATATTAAGATTATGAAGATATTTTTGAAAAAAAAAATATATATATTCTTTTAGAACATTAGTTCTATGATTATTCTATCAACCTTCAAGAAAGAGCTCAACCACCATTTGAACCAATCTTTAGCCTATAACAAAACAAGTTGGCTGCAGTTATAGAGAATATTGATAATTTTTTTGCTAAGAACTTCATATGCCATTCTAAATCTCTATTAAAGACTCTTATTTTATTTGTGAAGAAAAAAGACAGATCTTTGTAGATGTGTATGGACTATTGAGGACTCAACAAAATCACTATTAAGAATAGATATCCTTTACTTTTGATTTCAAGACTTCTTCATCAATTCAATCAAGCAAAGATTTAAATCAAAATAAATCTATAATAAACATATAACTTAGTAAGTAATTTTTTAAAAATGAATAAAAAACTATATTTTGAACTAGGTATGGACATTTTGAATATAATGTCATACCTTTTAGATTCATGAATATATTAGCTACTTTTTAATATCTTATAAATGACATTTTTTGTAGATTTTTTGATGCTTTTATCATCTACTATTTAGATGATATTTTAATCTATTCTTAAAAGATAAAAAAATATGAACTTCATATTTTTTGTGTATTAAAAAAAATTAAAGATGTAAAATTACATGTCAAGATAAAATAAAATAAAATAAAATAAAAAATAAAAAATTTATTCTATACTACTAAGATTCACTTCTTATAGTACATTATTTCCAATAAAGACCTTATGATGGATCCTAAGAAGACTCAAACTATTAAACATTGGAAGATTTCCAAAATAATTAAAGATATTTTAAAAATAAATAATTTTTTTAATAATTATTAAATCTTCATCAATAATATTTTTTAGTTGTGGCTCTTTTTACACATTTGATTTGTAAAGACAAATTTCAATGGAATAAAGAAATTGAAGCATCTTTCAAAGCCTTGAAGACATCAATTATTTTTACACTAATCTTATATTGTATCAACTTCTCTAAGATATTCTTCATAGAAATAAAGGCATCAAATTTTGCTATAGATGCAATTCTATCACTAATAAGAGTAGATGATAAGCTCTATCTTATAGCTTTCTATTTTTTCTAGTAATCAAGATTAACTACAAGATCCATAAAAAAAAACTTTTTGTAATTATAGATATATTTGAAGATTAGCATCATTATCTACAAAGAGCTTCTAGTCAAGTCATTATATTTATGAATCATAAGAACCATGAGTACTTCATATCGACACATGTTTTAAATTGTTGCAAAGCTTGTTGGAGCATATCTTTATCAAGATTACTTATTAATTCAAAAAATAATAAGGTTTGTTAAATGTCCTTTCTAGGTATTCTTAGTTTGTATCAAAAAAAAATGTGGCTTTTAATCAACAAAGAATGATTTTCTTGAAATCAAAGCATTTTCATCTTCAAGGAATGAAATCAGTATTGACTATTGATTCAACTTTTTTCTAGTAAGTTCAATCAAGTATGTCATTTAATCTTCTTATTCATGATATTAAGAATAATTCTTCTAAATCTCATGATACTTTTAAGTTCAAGTTTAAGAATAATTTATTCTATTTTGAAGAATAATTATATATTCTATAAGACAAAGCACGATTATGTATTCTTTAAGTTCATCACGACTTTTCAACACCCAAATATTTTGGATATAATAAGACTTTAGAGCTTATATCTAGAGATTTTTGGTGGCTTCAAATGTGAAAGGCAATTAAAGACTATGTAGAATCATGTGACATATATTTAAGATCAAAAATTCTTCATCACTGACTTTATGGACTTCTTTAGCCAATACCTATTCCAAAACAACTATGGTCTTTTGTTTCTATGGATTTCATCATGGATATTTAAGTCTCAGATTTGTATGATTTTATATTCATAATAGTAGATTGTTTTACAAAGATGGCACATTTTGTACCATATACAAAATATATCACAAGTGAAGAAATAACTAAGTATTTCTTTGACAACATCTACTGCTATCATAAATTATCCAATGATATTATATTATATATGAAGACTCAATTTATATCAAAATTTTAGAGAATCTTTTTTAAGATTTCAAACATAGACATAAAGCTATCTTTGATCTTTTATTTTCAAACTAATGGACAAACAAAGTACATTAACTAAGTTTTGAAGTAGTGTTTGAAATGTATCATTAATTATCAATAAGATGATTGGAAAAGTTGTACTTTTATTTTTATCTATTAGGATTTTGAATCAAACTTACAATGCATTGTTCAAAACAATCAAAACTAAAATATTAATCTAATAGGTCTATTAGGCCAAAATAGGCCTGTAAGGTCTACTTGGCCCATTAATATTATGTTGTCCTATTTTGGTCCTTTAGTATTACTTTGTCCTACATTGGTCCATTAGTATTATGTTGTCCTACTTTGGCCCTTTAGTATTACTTTGTCCTACTTTGGCCCATTAATATTACTTTGGCCTACTTTGGCCTAATTCCTTGAGTGGAGAAACTGCAGGGTTTGAATGCTTCACCTGGAGACAGACCCAAATGTTGCACATTGAAGTTGATTTAGTCATTGGTCCACACATGATCAACTTCCATGATCATTGAAACCTTCTACTGCTGATGTAATGGGTGGCAGACTTTGTTTAGATCAGTATGCATAAACTTTGTCATGCTGGTAAAAAGGTCACTACGTTATTGAAAACTCAAGTGCCTAAAAAATAATACTTGTTGCCTAAGAAGATTGTAGGTGTCTTATGGAAATGGAGAATTGGGATGGTTGTTTCTTTGTAAAAGAAATACACAACTTGAAGGACTACATTGTTTAAATGTATTCTTGTAATCTTTAACTTTTGAATATGATTCCATGCTGATGTGTGGCAATGACCTTTTCAGGTATGTTTTAGATGCCTCTAAATGTAACAGTTAACTCCTGCACTGTTTGGATAGCCATTAAATGTTACTTTGTCAACTCATATAGTTCTGGATTGCCCACAGTTCTGATTTGGTGAAAAAATATCTTGACCTGGCCTGTGTTTGCCACCTTTGACTTGGTTTTCTGTGCCAAGTTTTGCTCTTGTTTTTGGTTATTTTGTAATTGCTCCACTTTAAGTTTCATGGTTTCATTAACCAAAATGTGTTAAAAATGAGCATAAGATGGTAATCTATAAATTTGATTTAGTATTTTTGAGGAAATTGCATTAGAGAATATCATAAATATTAAGTTTAACAGTAAGTTATATTTAGGTACATGCCAAATAGACCCATTATTTTACTAACCTCAACCCACCCTTAATGAAGAATGTGGTGATAATAATGACGAGCTTCTATGGCTCTCATCATAACCACTGTGCGACCACACGTAAGGTGGATGGAAAAAGCTGATACTGCTAAACTGGCTCAATGGAATGTTAGGGACGGAAAAAGGATTATATTATTTTCAGCCAACGTTGGCCAATTGAATGAGATATATATTCCTGGCCTGTATGCTGATCCTTCATCGCTGGATATATAAAGATGAAACGTGCAGAGTTGTCCGAGTAGTTGTCCGACGCAACTCTGCGTGACTTGTGCGTTGTTCATGTGTCCAGGTTTATGAAGAGGGACTGGTTTTAGATCGCACTTGAATTGATTTTGCTTTGAAAGTTCCACAGGCGTCCAGTGCTGCAGAGTTTGTCTGATACAATGGAGTCCAAGCCACTTCCACCACCTCTACCTCTACACCCCAATTTGACCTTCACACCCGTGGAGATCGACGACCTCTTCGGTGGAGGAGGCGGACCTGCCGCGGCCGCTGCACCCGCGCCTCATGTTCCTGTAGATGCACCTCAGCTCCACGCGCCTCCAGGTCCAGCTTAAGGTTGCTTCTGCAACACCGGCGTCAATCCCACTGTCCCAAGCTCCATAGTGAAGACTACGGTCTTGGTTGGGTAAGGCTTGCTGTTGACATGATCCAACAGCTTCTCAGAACCAACGAAGCCATCCATCTCTCTAAGCAAATGATGCCGCTACGTGTTCAATCGTCTCTCTAAGCCAATCATACTGTGAAGTGTTGTAGAGAAATAATTTGCATCAATTTGCATTAGAGAAATAAAGTGGGACATCGAGCATTTGATATACAAAATTGCAATGCATGTACTTCCACAGAGGTTTGTCTCAGCTGCAAGATCGCAACTCCGGTGTTTCAAATTGTTGCCATTACTGCAAAATCTCTGTGCAAGTACGTCCATAGAGGTTTTCCTTTGCTACAAAATTGGCATTCTGGAGTTTCATATTCGTTTGTCAGTTTTGCGAATTGGCTTGCCTGGTTTGCTTACCAAGTGGCTCTTAGCATGCCTATGTTGAAAGTTTTTTCTCGGGAAGTTTACATTGTCTTTTCAGTTTTGCAAGATTGCGATGTAGGTGGGTTCGTAGAAATATAGGTGATGAAGGTGATGTAGGTGATGTTTGTAGAAATGGATTTGTAGAGGTGTGTTCGTAGAGGTTTGTAGAGGTATGCTGGGATTCCGTTTGCCAAGTAGCTGCAGGTTTCCCTGTGTGGAGAACTATATCACCTAGGTGATGTAGGTGATGTTTGTAGAAATGGGTTTGTAGAGGTGTGCTTGTAGAGGCTTGCGTGTGCTGCGAATTCGTTTGCCAAGTAGCTCCAGGTTTGCCTGTGTCGAGAGCTATATCCCCAAAAGTTTATATTATTTTTTCAGTTTTGCAAAATCGCGATGTAGGTGGGTTCGTAGAGGTTGCCTGACCCGCGAAATCGTAATTCCGGAGGTCCATACTGTTTTGCCAGTTCTGCAAAATCGCGATTTGCTCCTAGTATTTCAAAACTACAAAAAAAAACAAGTAAAATGTATCACACTAAGTACCCCAGCCAAGTGCTCCGAAGAATCCCAACCAGCAGCAAATCCAGACTTGAATGTGTAGAAACATGAAAGGAGCTGAAAACTTGGTAAACCTCAAGAAACCATGCACAAGAGCAATGTTCCTGTGACCACATCAAAACGGTCGTGTCCATGGTGTCCCCTCTTGTATTGAATCAGGCTTGAAGGAACGTCACACACTTCAACCCAAAAGAGGGGTCTCACAGAGATCCCCAAGCTCCACTGCTAGTGTACAGATTCTCATTATTGAAACAACGCGGTGGAATCCACCGAGCATCGCCGCCCATAGTGGACGCTGTGTATGAAGCATGTCATGGCTCGAATGATAATGCGAAATCGGAACATGCTTGCCGCACCTTGCTACTGTGTCAAGGGTTCACTCATGCCGAGCTCTCTTCACCACCGGAACTGCACGGCTCAGCTCGGCTCCGATGCACTCTACATTGATGTACAACACCAGGCTCACTGTCTCCATGTATCAAAATGTGCTGGTCCTGCTATTGCATTGGTGCACAAACGCGAGTCTTGATGGGCTTCAGCTTCACTCCCAGACTCTCCGGTGACAGGAGCTCGGCTGCCACACAGAGGGAGCTCAGAGGGCTGCTCGGGCTGGAAGAAACAGACCTCGATGGGCGTTGATAGAAAGCATAGCCCGTGAGAAAAAGCTCAATGGGCACTAGCATGGATTGTGGCCTCTCCTCCGTGACTAAGGAACCACACCCTTCTACCTGGAAATCACACACGCGAGACGGGATCAGTACCTCGTTGCAGTGCAGGAATGCGAAGATGCTCACAGGAATAAGAGAAAACTTGTGTGTTAATCTCACCTCAATCAACGCATTGTAACGTCTGTTCATGGCATTGCTCATGTGCAGTGTTTCGTGGTGGAAAGGAGACTCTTCCCCAACTAGTATCAGCGTCCGGCACCTCAGAACTTTCAGATCCTCGGTCAAATCTCGCCTTCGATGGATTGCTTGCAGGTAGCGCATCACGTTTTCACTTCGGCCGTTGTCCATATACTGTAGACATGGACGTAAAGTTCAGGGGATCTAACTGCATTTAATGAGCACTCTTGGCAACTGACCAACACGAGCTTAAGAGTGATTAGCTTCATGCAAACACTTGTCCGAACAACGAGGGTAAGTTGCTTACTTGACACAGGGTTTTCAACATGTCTGCCCCTCCTACTGAAGCTGCTGCATCCCGTACTTCTGAACCAAAGTACCGTTTAATAAGGCTCTCCCTAACAAAATGAGTCATGCCGCAGAAGTAAAGAAGATTAATCATGGCCTGTAAGAACCAGACCCCAAACGTCAGTGCCTGTTTCATCAGGGGATAAAAAGAGAGTAAGAGCAGGCTTAGACAGAAATATCATGGTTTCATTGAAACGATGGCACATGTTTGAGGTTACCTGATTCTGCAACCATTCCGTCCAAGATGCACATTGGGCAACGGGTGACACCAAGATGAGACCTAATGCACGGTCTGGATACTTGCACTGCACAACATGAAAGACTTTTGTGAGGGCCATTCTAATCTGAGACTCCTGCACAGAACGTGGTTCTCGTTCTGAACGATTACAGGTGAGAAAGCTCAGAAAAGCAGCCATGAGAGTTTCTTTTGTTTGTTTTGAAAGATTTACCGCAAACAGGCTAAGGACATAAGCTCCAGCAGTGGCTCCTAAGCCGATCACCTCGTTGATCCCAAAATAATCTACAACTTCGGCAACTTGGTCGGCTAAATCATCAACGGATAGAAAGCCCTGATCAGGAGAAATTTCAGGTGCCCCAACCTGAAAGAGAAGACACAGCATGAAGTTCGGAGTCTTCGTTCCAGGATTTGGAAAAGCTACAAAGAAGCGTAACTTGGTGATACGCGTACAACTAAGGTTGCCTTTCGAAACTTGGAAACCACAGATACTCCTTAAAGTAGCGACGGTGCAGAATTCACACCTCGTGACCCGGTGGGTCAATATGATATATGCAAAAATTGTGGAAGAGCACCGAAGAAGCTTCAGGAGTAGAGAAAAGACCCTCGAAGCAAGACAAGTCTGCATTCAGAATCCGTGTCAGAATTTGAGTTACACCGATTTTCTAAAATCAGAAGCTACGACCTCGCTGGAATGTTTAACGATCAGAAATCATCTAAGACGCTGCAAAGCCTTAACATTTCCCAGATGACCAGAATAAGAAGCCTGCGGCTTACAATTTAGTCCCACGTCAGGGTAAGTGACGAGAGCGCACTTGTCCAGATCTCCACAAACAGTGACTGAAATGGGACCGAATGAGGTAGGTACCAAGTACTCCTGCAAACGAAACAGAACGACACGAAAATGATGAGTTCATTGCTTACTGCGTAACTGAGCTCCAGTCAAGCATTGCTAATTTGTAGGGGTCGGAAATTCAGACACAAGTTAAGAAACGAGTGCCACAATTTTCGCATGGCGTCTGCGCGTAGTGATCTAAACCCAACAACCGATACTGATAACTTACTGCTCGGAATATGGGAGAAGCTATACCATACCATTACTCCTCAGTTGCACATTCTTCATCCCCATATAAGACAATTTCAAAATCCTACTGATGGGAAAGGTCACGCGAGAGAGTAATCCACCTTTCTCTCCCCCATCAGCACACTCTGGCACGAATTCATGCTCTACTCTTTCCTTGATCTCAACTGAACGCGCACACGCAGTCTAAACTGAGCCAGAGGACGCGAGCGAGCAAGCGAGAAGTCTCCATACCTGCCCACCCCACGGCGCAATGTCCATGTCCAGAGCAACAGAATCGAGTCGCTGCTCCATTACAAGTTATCAAGTATGCTACTCTTCTCGCTCAAACTGTCGCGAAAGCTTGCCCTGCTCCTTCCTCTACATCGAACTCCCCCACATTGGTCCTCGTAGGAAGAATCTCGCAATCAGCAAACCCCTCACGTGTTCATCACTTGCAGCGCTTTAAAGCATCTGCGCAAAAGAACCCCGAAACCACCCCACTAAATCCTGGCCTCTGCCTCTCCTCCTCGGTGATCATCTCACACGCCTGACACCCCCACTGACTGCATTCACTTCCAGCAGTCGTAATGCAACCGAACAACAAAGTGGTATTGAAAGCCTCCAAAGCGACGTAGACACCCCAAGGGTACCAACTTTGCCCAACTCGTGTAGCTCTGTACTATCCAACTAGGTATGTACAATTTATTGTGGATGAGGCTACAATTGAAGATCCCTGGACACCCAGCTTAGCTGTGAGTGAAGGTGCACCTCCCGATCGGTGGTACAGTTGGTGAAATCAGCATGTCAGAGTAAGCAAGGACTGGAACAAAGCTACCTTCTGCACCATCACATGTGCAGCCACAAATTCTTGCAGACAGACGCCCTGGCTCTCCCACCTGAGAGCTAGCTGTCACAACGAGCCACCAAAGCGGAGTCCGGATACCATAAAACCGAATTTCTGGTGGACCTCGCCTCCACTCAGCTACACCTCACAACCGTCTTCAAGCACACGGAACATACGACTTCAAAGAGCACACACCAGAATCGAGTTCGAGGATGTCGAGCCATGAGTAAAATTACAATCCCGCACCCACGAAATCTACGCCAAGGACCTGGCAACAATAGCATGCAGTTGTTGAGCTTGCAACGAACGTGACGGTGACGATTAACCGCAGGAAATACCACCATACTGAGATGGTGAACGCGTGATGAAGTCTGACAGTACTTTGAGGAGAGCAAATGTGCTAGACCAGGGAGGCTACCATTTTTCGATAAAACCATTTCTTCTTCCCTTCCGGAGGTGGGACCCCGCGACTGCGATTGACGCTCGTCGTCGCCTTCCCGTTGCGGTAGCTCACTTCGTGTTTCCCAGCTTGCGTTTTTTCACTTTTCCCCCTTTCTCCCAGCTTCCAACTTTTCAACCTCTCTGCGGTTTTCCTCTCTCAATGCGGTAAGTGAAACGCCATCATGAATCGGATGCTTGGCCACCGCATGATCAATTCCCAATCCAAACCCATACCTCGCCGAGATTCCTCATTCCCCTGGTAAAACCGTTCCTCCTCCACGAGATTGCGATCAACCGGATGCGCCAAAACTGATTTCAAGCGCGTCCTGTGACAGCGGGCAGTACCAGGATTAGGGGATGGAGCAACTCGCATTGCTAATCCCGCAACAAACACTAATCGAGGCGTGTGATTTCAATTTCAGACCTACTGGGGACGATCCGTTCCAGTAGACGAAGGGAGTAGTGCCTGAACAAAGATACTGGATGAACAAACTTCATCCATCTACTAACCGAAACGTGGCATTATATTGGATGATACCACGGACGCATGCGCTGCTGTCACCTCCTCAACTAATTTCCGAGAACCGTAAACCTCGCAGGACGATTCCGACCAAGAACTGAACTTGTGAATGTGTGCATACGGCGACAATTATGCTCGTGCTCCCCAACGTAGAGGATGAAATAGGTGGAAGTTGACGAATGAGATCATTCGTCTGTCAGCCGTCAGACGGCTGTTGACTTTCCAACGAGTGGCTGTGGTGAAGGTCAAGGGCCTTGACAGGTCGGATCTGCCAGCTCAGCCTATGTGGGTCCAACACAATACGAATGTGAATCCGCCAAGTTTACCTTGCGTTTTTCAATCCAAGGTTTGGGGGTCAGTTATATTATACTAGTGGAAACTTGTGCCATTGGCAAGGAAAAAGGTGGTCAACAGCGAATATTTGTTAGTTTATTTAACGTCAGAATATCTTAAACCAGCCATTGTAGGTTTTTCAGCTAATATGAGGGTGTTATTTTTGGAAAAGGTATATTTTTTGGTGGAGAAATAGGGTTATGATGTGCTCCAAAAGAAATAAATTACAAAAGCTATAGTGGTTTAATTAATATAAAATTTCAAAGGGCTTTGCACTTTGAGCCCCTGAACCAACCCACAGATTTGCCCAAAACCATCCATAAAAACACATTAAATCACCACCTCTATTATACTAAACCACTAACTTCATCTTTGTAAAGTTTATAAATCATTGGCAGGTTTGGAATGGACTTAGAATCTTTCTACATCAAGAATGATTGGGTTTGTGCAATGGTGGCTTTTGACAAGGTCTACATGTTGGTTCAAGAACATGATATGGTTTAACTTACTTTGGTGTTATTCGTTAGAAGCTTTCAAGCTTCATACCTAGTGATCTTACAATGCTACTCTTTGCAATCTGCGACAATAGTATGCAGATTTTGATTTTTCATTGATCAAAAGTTGAGTAATTGCTTCAATTTTCCTTCACTTCTTGATAAAATAAATAAATAAACAAATAAAAATAGATATACAACCAATTAGAGATGGTTTTTGTCTCATTTAGTTTATTTTTTTGATTTATCCTCTGTTTTTTTTTATATATAAGAGACATATATTTATATTTTAGAAGATTTGTTTAGGGTTTTGAGTTGCCTTTGTAAATGAGGTTGGTGGGTAACATTGCTACTCTCTAGGAATCCGTGGTCTTGCTGACTAAAAAGCCATCCATAAATATTTATTTAGTTGTTTATCTATGTACATTTGTCAATAGAAAACTTAAGCCTGTTGCTGAAAGCTTTATTCATCAATTATTTCTAAATAAGTTGTATTTGTTTATGTTGAATCCTGATTGACATGTTCGTGTTATAGATTTTGTTTTATTTTTCTAGTGAAATCTGATTATTTTCAATTATTTGAAACTTGAAGATACAATTTTTGTTTGTTTGTTTATTTTCATTTTATTTTACAATACTTGAGGTTCTGGTTGCTTATTCTTCTGAAACGTCTCAATTTTTGAATTTAGAGAGTCTCAAAACTTACCCTGGATGTCTTTACAAACTACTCACAAGCATGTAATTTTTGAAACATAAATTGAATAAAAATAAAATTGAAAATATTAGAATAATTTTTAAAACCATGGAACTTATCATTTGTATTATTGATTTATTTTAAATTTTATTATGTAAAAAAATATAAAATTAAAAATTGTTAGGAACTTTTGAAACAAATTGTTGGGAACTTTTTAAAAAACTTTGTAAAAACTGATCAAATGATTTTATTTACCAATTAATATTCAAGACAGTTTTTTGGAAACTTCTAATGAATTTGTAATATTTAAAAGTTTTTTTTTCTCACCTTTGAGTATATGTGCATGATAATAACCATTTTGGAACTGCATTGTCTGAGGGATAATTATTAATTTGCAGCATTCATTAGTGTATAGCATCTTGATAGTAGAAATGAAGCTAGTAATTTACATACTACACTGACAACTTTGTTATGTTGTTGAACTCATAATGCATGCATGCAATTGAGAGGGAAATGTTTCCAAGTGTTAATTTTGTTGATATTATGTATTAAACAATTCATGTTCAAATATATTTTTTTTGCCAAAGAAGAGTTGTTGTATGGCATTATCCATTTATTAATTTGTTTGGAGTTTTATTGCTTATTTTATTTGTCCTTCAGTAGTTTGTGGATTTTTCTGAAATTGATTAACGATGATATTGTGTATGTTTTTGTCACCTATTTATTTATTGGTATTTAAGAAGATTTTTGCAATTTTTTACATTAATCTTTGTTGTAGCAGAGTAACTATTGCAGAGTATAATGTTTGGTCTGGGTGATTGTTGTGTGATTTTGGATGTTTGATTTAAAGCTTCGTGAAGTTTATGGAGTTTAAGCTCTTTATGAATATTTGTACCAATTCATCATACTAATCTCTTTTACTAATTTGGATCAATGTATGAAGTGCCCATTAGTTTTGCTCTTAGAATGTTTTGTAACCCAAGAAGGCGTTTTAAGATTTCTAGATCTTTTATTGAGTTGTAGATTCTTTGTATAGCAATTTTTCCTTCCCAAATTCCTTCACTAATTTGTTTTGAGGTGGTGTAGGGGGTGCATTTTGTATGGAACATGTTAACATATCACATGAGATTCAGGTTACAAAAAAATTTGTAACATGTTGAGAGATTGTCTAATGTGTTATTTTGATAATATATTCACAACACTTGAATTGCTCAAAGGTTTATTCTAGGCTCAATTATTTTTTGATGAGATTAAAAGTTCATAGTATTTTAATGTGTTAAGTAAGGAATATACTATAACATGTGTGTCTTGGAATTTTGTGGTATGAGGCAACATCATAATACCAATTTACATCTTAATTAATTAGAATGATTATGGTTAAAGGATCTTCTTTTGTTACATGATTTGCCCAATGTATTGCTTGTTTGAGATGTGTAGATGTAGGACAAGCATAATTAATGCTATATCATTTGTTTTGAAATGCATTTACAAGTGATCGAAATATTATATTTCTTACAAAAGATAAAGGATAGTGTTTTAGTGTAGCTAAGGATATAATAGGAGATGAGATGTAAGGATGGGTTATTTTGAAGATGTTTAAGATTGAATCAAATAATATTGGTGTTAGTAAGTGATGTGCAGATTTAAGTAGAATAAAATTGAAAAAATAATGATAATTTAAGTTTCATAGTATTTGAAAGGTTTTGTAGTAATTCATGTATATATATTTTAAGTTTTGTAGATGGATAAAGATTTAAATTATATTTAACACAGTTATCTAAAAATAAATAAATGGTGTGGATACTATATCACATTGTGTTCAATTCAACACATAATATGTGTTTTTTTTGTTTAGCTGAATATAAAATTTGAACCAATTTTCAGTAATTTATACAACTATTATATAATACCTTCGATTAAAATAAAATGAAAAAATCTTATATAAGAGGCATGACCTTTATTCAGATATGTTTTACAAGTATACCACAAAATAATAATACCACAATATAAAATAATTATTTTTTAAAAACATTATATGGATATGAATAAAAAAAATTATGATGAATATCTTCATTAATGCATGATATGAACATAAAATTATATCCAAAATTTAATAAAAGGATAATATTGGCATAACAGCTTCAAGTGTTATATTTATTTTATTATGATTGATTATTATACTTACATCTACTTCAACACAACCATTTAAATACAAACAAAAAATCTTTGCTTCAATTCTAAATCTAATATAATGTATTAAAAAAATATAAATAAATAAATAAATAAATAAATAAACAAGTAAATCACTTCATAAGTATAATTGAAATTAATCATCAATGGTAGCACATTGAAAGTGGGTGGAAGTCATTCTTGCTGAGGCTCTAGATTACTCCTTCTTTACTTCTACCATGGTGGCATTGACTTATCCAATTACATATGGCTACATAACCTTTGTTAATTAATAGAATTCAATGAAAATTAATTAATTATTAGAAATCAATGGTTATTAACTATGCATCATAGAATAGAGTTAGTTCCTAAAAACTTTGATTGATTTATTGAAGGTTATTAGTTCTTAGGGAATCAATTAATAAGGAGAATACTATATTTATGTTTTTAAAAATTGACAAAATCTAAGTTTAACTTGTATTTGTAAGTATTAGAGTAACTCTCATAAAATATAGAAAATATATTTATTACATATTTTAAATAGTAAAAAGATTAAGGCATAAACCTACATTTCTCTTTGCAATAAAACTTTGCTTCAAGAAGAGCATTTTACAAAAATCAATTTGCTAAATTAGCAATAATGTTTTTCACCATGATTATGATAATAAAAACAAGTGAAACAATGTCCAATACAAACCATAA